TAATCTTATTATAATATGATGTATAATTATGATTAATATTGCAATTGGTCGTCAAGTCTTCATCCTTATCATGAATATCTCATATCTCATCCTAGAGTCTGGAAGTATATATGTGGAAATCTTGAAATGATGGATGTGAAGGATATTTATATGTTTTATATTCAAATAATCATTTTTTTTTCTTTTTTGAATTGTTAAGAAAAGAGAAAAAGAGAAAGTGTAAATACTATTAATTCATTCATTACGTCGCTTAAACTGAGCTTATATGAATGATATGATGTATATAGGCCTAGCTTGAAGACTTGAAGTAGTCGGTCATCTAATAGTGAATATCAAATGAAGGAAAACATATATAGTCCAGTACAAAAGAAGACAAAAATCTATAATTATGCTTTAAAAATATACTATTTAGAGGAATGTAATCGGTAGTTGGAATAGAAGTTTGTATCCAAGTCATTTGAGGCTTTGTATGTAAGATCTTATGTGTTATGCTGTGCTATCTTTGATGATTTTCACATCCTCGTTCTCGCATATCAATTTCGTCTCTTAGAACCGAGAGCTTCTCACCATCACCGTAACCCGCTCCATTAGCAATATCATTCATTACCTAGATCTAAATAATAACCACTCAACACTGCATCATTCATCGACCCAGTTTGGTGGTGTATTGGCTAAGGTAATGGGTGGTTTATATACACGTTGTACGATATACACAGGCTATGCAGACTACGCAAGCAACGCAAACAGTGAAGAAAGTCACCCGAATAAATGAATTAGGTATTAAATTTTTTCTATTGAGATATATACAAAGTATACACAGTCAGTCAGTCAGTCCCGTCCCTCATCCTCATATATCCCCTCCTCATTCGGACATTCAAAATCATGCAATCCCATCTCATCCCATCCCATCCATCCCATTCCATCCCGTCCCATTCCATCCCATCTCTAATCTATCCTTCTCATCCAATCATACATCTATCTTCACACTACAACCTCCACCACACTTCATTCAAAGCCCTAAATCATCTATCCTTAACTCTTTCCACCTGCCCCCTAACCCAACTCCTCGCATCTCTCCACCTCCCTTCCCTCCTTTCCTCCCCACCCATCTCCTCATACGCTCTCGTCCCCCTCTTTTCCCTCGCCGTAAAAGGATTCGACCACCTTCCTGCCCTCGGCTGTTCAGTAACTCCCCCAACATCTCCTCCCTCCATTTCCCGTTGCCTCTCTAATATATCCGTTTCACTCGTGACACTTGGTTCCCTTCTTCCATTTAATATTGCGTTTTTATTTCGAAGATAATCTCTCGTCAAATCTCCCGGAGAAGTTGGATTTGTATCACTGCGATATTTATCGAAATCGAAATTTGGTAAATTGATTGGTTCAAACGCCGGAACCATATTTAAATTCCCAATTTCAGGTTCCGGATCCGCGAAAGGGTCGTGACCGTATTTTGTTGTCTCGTAATAAGAATTGATGTCGCTATCATATTCATTTCGACTGGGAGGCGAACGAGTTTGGGGACGGATGCTTAAACCTTGAACTGGTTCATTTTCATTCAATTCGAGTGAATGAATAGATAATCCATCTCCCCACCCTGAACTTATCGTTGAGCGTGCCCTTACCGTTTCCATTTCCGCTCGATCCAGTGTCGCTTCGTTCCCGACTTCTGATGTGGAAACTGACGGATTTCTCGTCATCTCCGGGTGAGGCGTTTCGGCATCTCCTCCAGTACTTCCGTTTCCGTTCTTCCTGATACCCATCCCTGTAACAAAGGCTTCCAACCCCGTAACTGGTTTCTCACCCCTTTCTTCCAATTCTTCATTTCTTCTACTTTGCTTCCTTAGTGCCCTCCTAACAAGAAATGCTACAACGGCTAACGCAATTAAACCGACAATGACCGTAACACTTACAATCACTGCCAGAGCGGAAGATGTATGTTCATGTTTCGTGAACGTGCCTTGGGTATCTGAGAGAGGGGAAATTGTAGAGTTATTTTCGCTAAGAGCAGTAGCATTCATAAAACTAGTAGTTGTGCTCATTATAGTTGTGTTAGGGCTTAATTTTGAAGTTGATGTTGGAGAAGAGGTTAAGGCGTCCATGGTTGGAGTCGATATGGAGGATGTACTGCTAGGAAAACAAGATGAACTTGATATGGAAGACATCGATGTAGAGCTATCAGAGGCGTCTTGAAAGATTTGTGTAGGAGAAGATGATGTAGTGGTGATTGCACTTGTTGTTATGATACTCATTGATGTTACTGTTGATATTTCTGCGGTCTATAGTCCTTCATAAGTTAATGTTAAGATGAAAAGTAATCAAGAACTTACAGTAGATGTTGAATCGCAAGAACTTGTGCATTGTGGTTTTGTTATAGGTTTATCTATAGTACTCGATGCATTCGGGGCACTCGGAGTATATGGAGAAGAAGGTTCATCATCACCTCCATCGACATCTCTTTTGTTTGCCCAAACTAACTCAAAATCCTTTTCATATACACCGGCATCCACCAAGTCCATCACCAAGCCTCTTGAATTGTGATTGGCCATCTCGTAGATAGATACAATCCTAATTTATTTGAATTCGATTATAGTGTAAAAAAAGTTTATATTCAACTCTAGAAAAGATAGTCTAAAATCAATAAAGTATTAAAAGCCAAGAATGACGATAAGAAGGCACAAAAGAAAAGGATGAACGAATGATAGAAATAGAATGCCAGCCTGCTGGTAAAGAATGACAAATTAAATTCACATGTAAGTTTTGACTGGTTTACGAACTGTTAAGGCCAAGGCTGTTGCCAAACCTTACGTACTTATATTTCGCAAACAAGAATGCGGAACTATCGTATGAAACTTTCCCTCAAAACCACATGGCCCGTGGTTTAGCTTGAAAAATCCCGTGTCTATCAAATGAAAGACGGAGAAAATTATTCTCGGATAAGGATGGAGAAGATCAGCACAGTCACCACCATACCCCTCATCAAGTAGTTCCTGCTGGTTGTTCAAGCTGGCTTGTTGTAGAAAACTTCTTTCAACCAGCTCTCTTCAAGGAACTACTTAGATCCGAATAACTGTATCATACATATTAAAACATTTTCATTCAGTGTTTGGTAATGAAGAAGCTTAGGGATGATGGTCAGAGCCCAATAAAGTGAAACGGAAGTACTAGGTAGAAGTTTCCTAAGTCCGCTCCGATGTCTGTGCGAGCTTTGGATTTTGGAAGAATTTCCTTTGGGCACACGTGCCTTGTAAGGTTATTGATAGGATTAAAGTTTAATTCATGAGGATCTGTGGGTGATACGAGTTTCCTAATTGTCGCAAACGTGTGCGACGCAAAATGGTGCTTGTAATTCAGTGGCTGTGATCGTCAACGCTTCGCCCTGTGGTTAGACTAGTGGTACTTTCATGCAATAATTGCTTTGAACGTTGGTGAAATCCGTTCATTGTCGAGGATTCGATGAACATGGATGGGATGTGGCCGAATAGAGAATATATGCGATAGACTGTTGTCGATTCAATCTTTGGAATATACTAGAACTGCTTACCATGTTGTAAAGAACAACAATACTTCAGAGGCAAGCAAGGCGAAAAAGAGTAAAGCTGAGATAAATGGCGGGATTTGAAGAGACTGTGTCGTCTAAAGTCGACCAGAAAACCGAGTGGATAGAGCCCAATTTTCCCTATCTTCTCTTCGAGAAGGTTTTAGACTCCGGAGTCGCCTGTTGCACCTTTAACGCCTTACCCTGTCCAGCTTGTGTTCATACAACCCTCGTTCCGCCCAGAAAGTATAATCACACTGCCTGCCCATTCATTTCTTCTTTCCTTCTACCACTTTCTCATCAACCTCTTTTACCTCTTCCATCTTCTTCTTTCCTCCATTCCATACCTCCCAAATTTGTTCCATAATCAAGTCACCATATCCTTTCCCCGCTTCCAAGGCCTCTTTCTCTTTCTGATCTCTCTTTTCCTTCCAATCTTTTCCTTCGCCACCTAACCATATTTTCTCCAAAACACCTTCTTTCCCCACTCCTTGAACCTTCTCTATCGTTGGTTGACCAGCACTTCTCTTTTCTAATGCCTCAAGAACCCCCTCCCCCTTTGCACCCTCCTGGGATTTAAATGTCTTTCCCACAAACTTTCCACTCTCCTCCATCCTTTTCTTTTCCTGCGCTTCTCTTATTCTTCTCTGAGTTTCCTTTGCCTTTTCAGGCAATTCTGTGCTTGAAAAAGAAGTCACTCGGTTTTGTATGCGAGTCATCATTGACACACCAGTGTATTCGTAGGCTAAGTGATTACCACCGATGAATGTTGTGCTCATGAGAGCGAAGGTATAGAGGTCCATTTTGCGGGGTGGTATCACTATGTGGAGGGGTCAGCTCGATATTAAGGGATGGGGTTCGACGGGCCATAATTTGTTTTATAGATAGATACAAGGATCCATGATAAAAGGATGTGACCCAAAGCTGCAATTGAATAAATTGGAGAAGAACTTACTCATAACGAGTGGACAAACGATGAGGGCTGCGAGGGATGCATTGTGTAGAAGAGGAGTGGTTCGTGGATTTGCAGGATCAGGTTGAGTGAACTGAGAAGGTTGGGTCGTAGACATTGTTGTGGGAGAGATACTATTTGAGTAGAATCTCGTGGTGATTTAGGTGTTGTATTATGAAGATTGCAAAATACAATTTTGAAAGAACCTGAGGGGCCGCAATAATGACGCTGTAGATAATTTTTTGAGACCCCGGAGTTTGTTTATTCCGACAAGTCAGTCAATGGTAAACCCAATATTTTTGCCATGAGCTTGCCATAAAGTTTGCTTCAACCTTTATCAAATTAGATGGCTGTTCTAGATTTTGCTAAATCAATTTGAATATAGCGAAAAGTGTAAAATTGCACGTCGAGATTCGAGAGCTTATGGACTTTTATTGAAATTTTGCATTGGTTGTAGAATTGAAGATATATTCCGAAATAGCTGCCAGGGAATCATTCAAAAACGATCAAGGCACTTTGCCAGAGTGGTTAATGGGTAGCACTCGAATTCCTGTAGCTTACTACAGGATATAATAGATATGCTATGTCTTCGGACGCGCAGGTTCAAATCCTGCAGGTGTCGTTAGATTTTGTTTGTTTTAATGTGTTCGCCATTTTGTTTATTTTCATAAGTTCTCCAAATTTTTGGAACTTACCAAGAAATGGAAGGGCGATGTATCTCTCAACCCCACCTCAGCGTAAACGCCCCATTCATACATTTAGGTTCTCACCCAACTGCTTTCATCTCACACACGCTGCACAGGTATCCGTGGACCTTGTAGGTGGTATTCAACATCGGACGAAAGACTGTTTTTTTTTATTTACCGTGGGACCGGCAAGTCCAAATCTGAAAGTCCATTACTTGCCCTTGTTTCTACACGACATAATTCTCACCATGCGGCTCATCTATGTTGAGGATTTTCAGGTAGATGAACAGCTAGATGAACAGCTAGATTCACCATGACTGGAAAGCCTTCCATGACTTTAATGGCCTGCCAAAAGCGGATTCTGGGAGCAAATTGATGGCATCGATGTTTAAACCTTGCCTAGAGCTTTTCACGTCAACAATTTCTGATGGTAATTGACTCGGCATTGTGTGCGATGCAATCAAATTCCGCTCCAAATTTTGAACGAAAAAGCTGCACCATTCTCTATGGTTTCCTTCCTCCAATTGCGCCTTCTGTGCCCGTATTCTTTATTTCTGCTCTGCCATCTTGTTTGCCCATTTCTCACAACCGCTTTTTGCTGTTCGACAAGTTTAGCCGTTGTACTCGAAATTATAATGCCTATTGCCAATCGTCCTATCACGACCCAGTTGATCGCTCGGAGGCGGTCATACCTTCTACTCCGTACTCTCTTTGTCCATGCTTCGAGAACTATTTTATCAATCTTTTCAGATCAGTTAGAGGCAATCCACCTTACATGGTGCGTGTTAATGAACCACGTCCCCACCAACATTTCCAACTATTGCTTTTAAGCTCAGGGCAATTGATATAATCTTAATATAAATGAGCGGGCTTGGACTTATTGGTATTTACCTCAATGTTCAGCTCTTAGCTTTATTTGAGGAACCCATGCGCTCTTGGATCTAGCTTCTAGTTTGGCTACAAGTTTTCCAGAATCATCCATTGCATGGTAGCTTATTGTTAATTTGTACTGTCTCTCGATTAGGTACCGTTCCTTTTATATCTTTCATTGCCGAATTAATTGTTTTTTGCCTCCATGGTTCTGAGCCAGAGCTTCCCATGGTGATCTGTATACATGAGGTCATTCTTCTTAAAGAATTGGCGATTTATTCCATAAGAGCTACTGTATAGGTTTCCAGTGAAGATAGGTTGGCATCCCTTGACTACTTGCGTGCGTTATCGACTGTATGTACGCATAAATTTTGAAGAGTTTGTAATCAAGTGAGCTGCCTTACAAATACTCTGTCGGGATATTCATCACGTAAAGCACTAGTATTGGCGCTAGTGCCTCGGCAGAGAGGAACCGGACCATTATATAGTTCGGTATTTCCATAGTTCTAGTTCTTTAGGCAAATCAATACGAATAATACCATAGTAGTGTTGAAGCCTCACGTCCCCATATACGTTCCCACCGACATACTCATTTACTTTAATAGTTCACCTATTTCATGTCTTTCACATTTCGAATTCAAATACATGACAAAAATACTGGCACAAGAACTTCAGTGGTACGCGATCAATATCGTTTTCGTCACAAGCATCAGACACACGGTAGTTGACCTTCAGTGTCATTTAAAGTTTTACCGCCGTATTTGGATGGGATTGATCGATTTTACTGTTATGATCACCCCATTTAAATACATTGACTGATTGTGCTGAAACAGTAACATACAAGTTCTTGAAGATTGATAACATAATCTCTGAGACATCTTCAAACTGTGCTATTACACCTTTTTACATAAGCATCAATGCCGTGTCCAGTTTTGAAGTTCGATCATCTATATGCAACCACACCTCCAAAAACACCATATCAACTATCGTAGCTCGAACTATCTTTTTACCAAAGTAATTCTTCCTGATGAGTGCACAGGCAGCTTCGAATTACTCTACTATTTCTTCTCATTCCCTCCCATTCCAAGTAGGATAGCGTGGCGAGTCGTAGCGTTCATATCAGTTGCCGTACTACTTACCCATTTTAAGTGCACCCCGTTCTCATCAAAATGGAGCAGGGTGCAAATAGTTCCACCAGGTAGGCTTTTATTTTCTGTCTTTTACCAGAGTATTTTTTTATTTCTTGCAATTAGTTTGCCTGATACAGAAGTTGTACCTCACAGGTTGCACAGATCTGATTAACAAACACACGATCAAGGATTGGTTCCCAAATGCCGTGTAAAGTTGTGCTCGTGAAGAAGAATAAGATATGATGGGAGTATAATATATATAGGAATTAATAAATAAATGAATATCATTTATTCTCCCAAATCAAAGACGAGAGTTAATTTGATCAAAAATCGAATGATAGGATAGAATGAAGCCAGATTCTAGAAAGGATAGAGATAGAATAGGATAGGATGAAAGATGGGATTCTTAGAGGATGAGGATGAGATTTCAAACGCTGCAAATAGGAATATGTATCCTCGCGGAGATATCGACGACATCTTGTTTTGATTAATTTATATATACAAAGCACGGGATACTTTTCATCCTTTCTTTATGAAGAAAACAATCATCGATATTTGGTATTTTTCTCAAGAAAAATCAACATAATCTTCAGGCAGATAGATTGATAAATATTTCTATACAGACTTTTAACCTTTATGGACCTCGGGAGATAGATATTCAAGTACAAAATAATTTGACCTCTATATTCCCAAATAGTGATAAAACAACAGAGGCAGGCATAGCAAGCAGTATAAAGTATCTACCTAGACTCTCCAATTAAACAAAATTCTCTCATCAAACTAAACTTATAAATAAGCCATATAATACAATAGCCGCGAATCAACTAATAGATAATAGTAGAATAACGTTAAAAAAAATCCCTTTATAATAGTGATATATCTCTATTATAGATTATCAGATATTGATAAGACTCACCTATATATACATAAGAATATACATAGTATCTAAAATCAAACTAAGCTTCTCACCATATACGTACCGTAATACTATTAACTCATTTCTTCATTCCTTATTATGTATACTCCTCCTTTGAATTTCTTTTCTTCAGAACACTCTTCTCCTTCTCTTCTCCCTAACCTCCCCACCGTCTCCTTATAAAGTCATCTACTCTGCCATCAACATTCTTCATTCTCCCTCGGGAAAAAATCTCCTCAATCTCCTCAAGCCCTCAGATTTTTCCCGTAACAACATCTTAAATTTAAGCTTCTTATCCACTATCTCTTCAATCATCTTCTCAATCATCTCTTCAATCACTTCCCTAATTATCTCCTCAATCATCTCTTCAATCACTTCCCTAATTATCTCCTCAAACATCTCCCCAATCATCTCCCCAATCATCTTCCTATCCATTACCTCCCGATCATCTCTTCAACCATCTCTTTTACTATTTCCTCAATTAATTAATCCTCCTCCCTCCTCTCTCTCCTCCCTCCTCATCACCCCACCCCCCCTTCTCTATAATAAACACCCAAGCTCAAGAACTTCCCTCACACCCACAAACATTCGATATCCAATATCCAATATCCAATACATTTAATTATCATTTTTATTTCCACTTCCACTATTGATGTTCACTATCGACGTTCAGTGGAGCCGAGAATAAAAGATACAAGATCCATAATATAAATGCTATACACGAATGCTATACACGAATGCTATACATAGTACATACCTACCCACCCTCGAACACCCCACAGATAACCATCAGACAAACACACAAACACACAACCCACTTCCAAACAATAACCCCCTAAAATCCAAATCCCAACCTCCAAACCCAACCATCCAAAACCCACCCAAACACCCCCCACAATACCTACTAAAATCTACCTCCATTTCCAATTCCAAACAAAATAAACAAAATAAAGTTTTGATTATACGGATCGATTTGTACGAACTTTTGGGCATTCTGGGAATATATCAACTCGTCGTTACTAGGTATACATACTGCTGTGGAACTTGATTGCTAGGTATACAACCCTATAGTTGACCATGGATGGGATTCTCATGTTCGTTTCGTTTCAATCGGAAGTGTTTTCGGATCAAGATGGTGAGATAATTGATTGGAATTGGGATTAGAATGAGTACTCGGATATTAATTATAAGAATAAAAGGCAGAGTTTTAATAAATAGATAGAGATGAGGTTGACGACTGTGTATTCTTTTGGCTTGTGACTATTACTACTTTTTCTTCTCCATGAGACTTATACCCATCACAATAGGCGCGCCATCCATACCATGTCATGAGTTATCAGTCCCAACTATGATCTGCCATATTCATTCATCATTCCTCCCCAATCATATTTGTTTCCCATATCCCTATCCGTCATAACATACATAGCCTATCATTTCTTTCCCCCCCCCAACACATCATCAAACCAAAAAGAATATCACTGCCGCCCAACCCCTCTTCATCCATTTCATCTCCTCAAATCGAGATATGCCTTAGCATCATCCCATGTCTTCTTCTCCGCATCCTTCATCTCTGTATCTGATAAAGTTTTCACTCCCTTATGCAATGCATCAAAGAAACCAAATGCAACATCAAGATCCTCTACAAAATTGATTGCATGAGGAAGATATGTGGCACTATATGCATTCTTCATTAATTGCTTTTCCTCTTTAGATATGTCGGGTTTGATGCGGTCATCTAAGTAGGTTTTGACGGCTATTCCAAAAGCAACATCTATATCATTATCGAATGGGAGACTGTTTTCGGAAATGTCAGTGAATTGACTAATTGGAAAGCCGAAGACTATTAAAAGGCAAGAACGAGAAGGAATGAGAAGAAACGTACCTGCGACCTAGACCTTGATATTCTTTGACATTCCGAGTGACTTGACCACTCAATAGCATCGACGCAACAATTGCTTCAATTAGATCTCTATCTGTATCCCGAATAGATTTGATGATTGAATGATATGAAAGGAAATTC